AGTTTGAATTCAAGACCAGCTTGGGCAACACAGAAAGATCCCACCTCAAAAAAATACTTACTTAAAATATTTATAAAGAAAATGGAATATGTCTCACCTATTATGCTGGGTGGGAGAAAGAGGTAGAAATTATGACATTTTAATAAATCATTTAATTGCAGCAATTTTGTAATTTGGGCAAACCATGTTGAATTCCTACGGCTAACCACAGAATCTAGTAGCAGTCTTGAGATAATTATAAATTTCAAGACAGACAATATTTTATTACCTTTATCATTTGAAAGGTCAAAAAACAAGTGTTCTTACACTGTCTATGTAAACGTCATGCTGCACCCCAAAACAGTTTCCAAACTTTTTCATTTCAAGTCACATTATTCAAAGTCTTCAATTTTCCTCATCTCACTAGCTGAGATGAAAACAAGAAAAGGGTGGTATCCCACAGCCATTAATAAAAGCTGGTGCTGAAAAATGAGGAATTACTTTTGGAGAGGGGAAGAAGATTATACCTCAGAAGTACATGAAGATATGATAATATATTAAAATTAGAAGAGTATAACATTAGAAACAAACCTCTACAAAATAACTCTACAACACAATTTAAGTTAGAAGTCATAGATTATAAATACTCTAGGAAAGCCCAAGTTTGAATTTGATATGGATATCTATAAGGAAGATGGGAGAGAATAATGGCAGTCATAATGACAACTTGTCTAGAAAATACTGGCCTCAAATTACTTTTCAATATCTAACTCTTAGATTAGCACATCACTTAGAGTTATCATACTTATGAAAAATCAAAAGTCTTCAATAAATGATCAATATATTTTATACAAATTTCTTCTGAGAAATAAAAAAACTCCATTAAATATACTAGCTAGTATGGCCAACAATATCTAATAAGTTAGTCATTTTTTCCCTCATTTTCATTACATAATATTAGAAGCCATGGAAAGAAAAATCTATTTTTAACTGAATTGCCAGTTCAAGCCTTTTAAGTTTCATGTAAACAAATATTATTAAATCTACATTTCCTTTCATTCCTTCTATTACCACTTTTCTTCAAAATATGCCTTTACACCAGATTTTTCCCTTCTGCTAAATACAATCTAATAATGAAGAAAAATGTTACCCATATCCAGAAGAATGTCAAGAAAGAACACTGCTCACAATAAGAGTAAAATTAAGTGTCTAATTTGGGGTCATATGAAAATATTGTATTAAAATCCACTTCAAAGCAGACTTTGTTCACAAAAATTAGACATTTTGTATCCTATGCCCCTAAAATCTGATTATGCTTCAAAACTAAGCTGGACCTGCCTATGTAGTACAAAATGGAAGATAACTTACTTTTTCACATCATCACCACGACATGCCAATTATGTCATACAAGAATACAATGATTTCTAAAATAAAACCAGGATTAATACTAGAATATATTAAAGTAGAAAAAATGAAGAAATATTCAACCTACTCAGTCCAATCTATAAAAAATATAGAGACAGATTTATACCCTTCCAGAATGACCTGAATTAGATGACTCAGTTTACACTATCATTTACTTTCCAATTGGTAAGGGAAGACTGCTCTGATCAGTGACTTAGTTAAAAGGTGGGGGGATTATAGTCTTACTAGAACTTGTAATTGCCCTTCACATTAATATTTAAAGGCAAGAAAAACTGAACATGCTCAACAGTTATAGTAACATATAAGCATCAATTTCAAAAACATTTACAGGTGCTAACTGGGCTACCCAATCTAGAATGACTGGGTAATGTGCTTGTCGGTCATGTAAAAAAAAGTTTTATGTGGAGCACAGCAGTGCATGCCTGTAATGCCAGCAACTTGGGAGGCTGAAGCAAGAGGATTACAAGTTTGAGGCCAGCCTCAGCAACTTAGCAAGACCCCGTCTCAAAATAAAAATTAAAAGAGCTGAACCAGCACGGTGGCGCACACCTGTAATCCCAGTAACTCAAAGGCAGAGAGGCAGGATGATCGCAAGTTCATAGCCAGCCTCAGCAAAAGGGAGGCACTAAACAACTCAGTATAAAATACAAAATAGGGCTGGGGATGTGGCTCAATGGTCAAGTGCCCCTGAGTTCAATCCCTAGTATCCCCCAAAATAAAATAAAATAAAATGGGCTGGGGATGTAGCTGATTTCGATCCCCAATAATAACAACAACAACAACAAAATTATACTACTATTATTAAGATAAACTGCCCCTGAATTCAATCCTCAGTAACAATAATAAAAAAAATTACATTACTATTATTATACCTATCTATGTTATTACAAAACAGGCTTACTAAGTTTTCAGTACAAAGATTCTTATTCTGATTGAAATACTTCACAGTTATTTAAGGTCATACAAGTTCTTTAAAAAATGAAAATATCAGACTAAAGTGAATCATTGTAAGGTTTAAAAATGGCAGTTCTGATTTTTTAATATGTTATTTTACACTTGTGTATCTCAAAGTGGAAAACTATACCTGAGAAGGATAACAAATAAACACTTTCAACACTAGTATTTACTGAGCACAGCACTACACACTGTGATGAATTCTTTGCATTTATCATCTTACTTAATTCTTAATAATCTAGGGACTGTAACTATCCCTATCTGAAAAGAAAAGACAAAGATAAATAATTTACTCAAGAAGTGGTATAGGTGGCTTTGAATCCAGAGCCTAGAACCAAGGTAATTAGGAGGAGGAGGAAGTGGTCAAGAAAGATTACAGAAATATTAACTCCTAATGTAGAATGGCATATTGTTTATTGATGGCAGTTCTTCCTTATATCCTGGAATAGCAGGTTTCAGTTCTGTCTACACATTAAAAATCATCTGCAGAATTTTTTTTTCCCAACTATTCATTTACGGGATCCCTCACTCAGATAACCTGGTCTTCAACTGATCTAGGGAGGGCCACAGGTATTATTTTTTAAAGAAGCACTCCAAATGACTCTAAGGGAGCAAATAAGATTGAAAACCACTAATAATTCTTTCCCACCCTATTAACCTCTCTATCCAACTACAATCAAACTGACAGATCACCTATTTGGTTCTGAGCACTCTATTATACCTTCCATTTATCCAACAAAGTGTTTAGCTTTTCCTCCTCTTAAACAGAGGAAGCATTACTACTACAGTTGAACCTTTATTTCTTGCAGTGCTCCTAGAATCTGGCCCATGATAGGCAAGTAATCTACCACTGAGCTAACATCCCAAGCCCTAATTGAACCTTCTAAATTTTAGCAGCTTTCCTTTGACATCAGGAATGCAGAGGAAAGGACAGAACACATGAAAAACTTTGGATGCTTCCTTCAACATCCATATACTTCTGAGGTTTAAAACAAGGCAAAAAAAAAAAGTCTTAAGAGTCAAACTAAAAATGAAATGACAGATTATGGCACTAAAAATGTTCTGTGATACATGTTAAAAATTTTAATATATAGCTGGGCATGGTGGTTCACACCTATAATCCCAACCAATGCAGGATTGCAAGTTTGAGCCCAGCCTGGACAACTGGGGATACTATGCCTCAGAATAAAAAAAAAAAAAAAAAAAAAAGGTGGGGGGTGGGGTGTAGCTCAGTGATTGAGTGTCCCTGGGTTCAATCCCTAGTATAAATAAATAAATAAATATTTTATTTTATTTCTTAATTAAGCTGATAATGACAGTTAAAACACTTACTGTTATTGTGGTGATAAACTCCATTGTCTTGTCATGATGCTTTGATTGATTATGCAGTATTTTTACCCTTTAAGTCACCTGAATATAAACTAACAGGTGCTAAAGGATCAAAGCATTACATAAGCATACCTACACACCAATATGGCTGGTCAAAAAATGTTCTGGGAAAACAAGGATTCTGCTGACAATTTTATATGAGAAGTCTTACTGTTTCACTAAGTTACTAAAAGCACATCCCACTCACCCTATACCAAAATATAATGAAAATAGTTCCAGGCATTCTCAGACTTGCAGGCTTTTAGTGAAAAGGTGAAATGCAGAGGCACAGGAAAAGTATGGAAATTTGAACAAGAGATCTAACATGAAAGAGTATCAATACTTTAAGTTGGACAAAACTCTGGACTTCAGAGAAACATTACAAAACTTCCTGTTTCCGGACAGCTCATTATTTGGTCCAAGTCTTCACATTCCTTTATTAGTCATGACCTTTTCAGAAAGCTTTCATTCCTTATTGTTTGAATAATTTGGAACTTTTGATGTTTCCAAAGTCTTACAGGAACCTTTATCAAACGAAGAAGCCAATCAAGAGTTCATGCCCCAAGGTACAACTTACATTGCTGGGAGCTCTCAGTAATATCAGCAGATTGTAACTTTTTTTTAACTCATTGTAAACATATATATTTCTGCGTAACTTAAATTTCTGCTCATCTATATATTTTTATCACATCTAACTACAGGAACTTGCATTAGCTCCGCAGAAATTAACTCTGTTGGGGAAGACCTGTGGGTATGTGTGAAACACAGATCTTCGACAGTAAACCTCATTGCCAATGGTCATTGGGGTCTTGCACGGGCCCAGATCTGGCCTCTGAGCCATATGTCACTAGGTTCAAAGGCATAGAGAACCACAGGGTAACTGGGCGAGAAAACGAGGGGGAGGCACCTCATAAATACTTGCACTTCCAACCCGAGGCTGGAAGGGGTGCCTGGAAAGGCAAACCCTAAAGAAAAACCTTTCCTATTAGGATCCGGCACATCGCCGAGGCCTGCAGGGCCTGCTGGACGGGGGGTGGGGGTCGGCCCCCTCTTTGGAGACCTAAACAAACGAAAATAAGGCAAGTTCTTACTTCCTGGTCGCCTGCTCTTCCCGAAGGTCCCCGACACCGGACAGACACGGGG